TCCTTGGTAATATTTAAATTCTGTTACTAGCAAGGACATACATGTTTTCTATTCCTATCTTTCTTAAGATACACACACCAGCGAATATTAACCTCCCTGATAAGACCCTGGATATATATCTTGTGTAAGACTCGGGCTATGTTATAAATAGAGGGTTCATATATTCTATCAAATAGGGCAATGGTTTTGTTTCTTGATTTTTAATATTTAAAAGAAATGACACTTTATTACAGGAAGGTGGAAGTTGCTAGTTAAAGATTATGTCAATTATCGGGACGAAGTTATCCTTTTTAGCGTTCCCCCCAAAAAGCGGTCGCTTTGTTGTAAATAACTTAATGGTCACATTATATGTTATCATTCCAGATATTTTTTGTTCCCATATTTCCAAGGAGCGGTTTGTGAAACCATTTCATTCAAACTTAAAAGAAAAAACGTTGTTTTTGTTTATATATATCATACTTATTATAAAACGCAGATTGTGTGTGTGTGTGTGTGTGTGTGTGTGTGTGTGTGTGTGTGTGTGTGTGTGTGTGTGTGTGTGTGTGTGTGTGTGTACGTTTATATATTGGATCGGATTTCCTACATTTTTCAACCGATTTCAACAAAACTTCACAGGACTACGTAAAATTACCTTGCGGTGGTTCTGACAGCGCCAAAAATTGGAAAAACACAATTGTTTTTGCACGAAATCAATTTGAAAACACGATTAAGAGGAATCGCTGTCGCGAGAATGAAAGGGGAACAACTCATATCGAGTTATACTTATTATAAAACCCAGGTTGTGTGTGTGTGTGTGTGTGTGTGTGTGTGTGTGTGTGTGTGTGTGTGTTCGTTTATATATGGGATCAATTTCCTACATTTTTTCAACCGATTTCAACAAAAATTCTTTTTTTTTTTGGCAGGTAGTGTTTCTTATTGTCTTGCACACTTTTTCTTTATTTTTACATTCAGAATGCTTTAAAATTCCATTTACAAGACAATTGTTTATAATAAAATTCTATTCAATCGGTAGACTCATAACAATTGAAAACAATGTTTTTGTTTGAGTTTGGATTTGACCAATTCATAAAAAAAAAAGATGAAACAAAAAAAAACTAATTAAGACATGCGTGTCCGTCAACCTTAAACAATAATCTTTGTCAATTTTATTTTTCAGTCTTTATGATGGTCGATACTTGATCTATCTCCTACTGTTACATCCCCGGGCAACGCCGGGCTCTACTGCTAGTATATATATATATATATATATATATATATATATATATGGTGAATGAGCTTTAGTAAAAGCTAAAAGATGACATTAAGAATGCATGGTTTTCTACTGTGTCACATAAATGACATCATCTTTTATTGACTTTATGTATTATCTAATGAAACTAGCAAGCGTTAATAAAATTAATAGGATTTGTTTAATATGAACTCTTCATAGATTTTGAATACTAGAGTTAATGCAATAAAAGGCTCAAAATCCACTTAAGGTAGAGTGTTATTATTAAAATAGTTATGATGAATGAAGTGTGAGATATGAATGAAAGAGTTCATCTCCATCATCTCTGAAGCTAGTTAAAGAAGCCTACACACACATTTAAAACATTACTTGGTAATGAAGTTTAGATTGAGAAGCTGAGACAATAACGGCAACACCTAGAGGCGACAGTCTGTTTCATACTTAAAGGCAATCGATTGCGTTTAAGCATGAAACAGACTCTCACTTCTGGGTGTTGACTTCAATGTCCACTTTTATAATAATATGCAATATCCCTGATATTGATCACTTTAAGACATAAATATAGCATAGCTTAATTTCAAATTTTATCGTACAATTTAATACTTATTAGTTAGAATAAATTCTATTTTAGTATAACCCTAACTTTAAGGCATTTAATAGTTATTATAAGTTTACTTCGTTGTCAAGTTTTTTGAATTCTCGTATACTTTTGATTGGTCATTTCAACTCATGTAACAGCGTTTCCCCTTACGAGGGGTGCTTAATTAATTTGAACCTTTTAAAACCTTTATTCAACAATCTACATTCAACATCATCACTTGATAAGACACCAGAGGTGTTGAAACAAAATGGCTATATTTGTAGTGATTTTATAACATATTTATGTTATAATTTTTAAATAAATAATTATATATATATATATATATATATATATATATATATATATATATATATATATATATAGAGAGAGAGAGAGAGAGAGAAAGAAAGAGAGAAAATGAAAGAAAAGTGACAGACATGGAGACATATATTAAAGGCATTCGGGCATGGTGTAATGGTTAGCAAGCTTGTCTTGCTAGAACAATTACGACTGAGTAGTGAGTTCGATCCTCACTGGGTGCCCCATGCTTTGGGCCTTGTGCTACATCTGAGCGACGCTTGGAAAATCACTATATTAAAGGCATTTATCTAACACCTTGACGCAATCAAAAGTTTCATATGCGGCAATATTGGATATGCCGGCGTAATCATCAGACGATCCGGAGAGACAGGACCTATATATATATATATATATATATATATATATATATATACATGAATTATTCACACAAAACTAATGAAAAGGTTAATGATTTAAATGGCGAGACATCCATCTCGCAAACAATTCAAATAGTACACAAAAACCTCCAGATCCGTTATAAATGAATTGATCCTTGTTTATATAAATTTCTGCCGTATTAGTTGTTATTTTTTCTACAAGCTTTCGTTTGTTCCTACAGACATCTTCAGGTATATAATAGATGTTGTTCTTGTTTTTTTCTCTTAGTAATAAGAGGACATCGAAAATATATGTGTATTGTATCCGAAATGATATTGAAAATGAGATATTGGTTTTTGAACGCGCCAAAGCAACGCTGAGTTTGATTTTAAATTTCTTTTTTTAAAGTGTTTGCGTTTATACCAAATATGGTAATGAACAAATTATTTCACTGGTAAATTTTACTGTAAAAGTAGCATGAACTATATTGTTCAATAATTACAGTAATGTCGCACTTATTATCTAAAAAATGGATCAGTTATTTAAATTACAATAAACGTGCAATCAATTTACAAATACATGAATTATTCACAAAACTAATGCAAAGGTTAATGATTTAAATGGCGAGACATCCATCTCGCAAAACAATTCAAATAGTACACAAAACCTCCAGATCCGTTATGAATGAATTGATCCTTGTTTATATAAATTTCTGCCGTATTAGTTGTTATTTTTACTACAAGCTTTCGTCTGTTCCTACAGACATCTTCAGGTATATAATATAATATTACTAATAATATTAATCATTTAATATTAAACACTTTAAAAAAAGAAATTTAAAATCAAACTCAGCGTTGCTTTGCCGCGTTCAAAAACCAATATCTCATTTTCAATATCATTTCGGATACAATACACATATATTTTCGATGTCCTCTTATTACTAAGAGAAAAAAACAAGAACAACATCTATTATATACCTGAAGATGTCTGTAGGAACAGACGAAAGCTTGTAGTAAAAATAACAACTAATACGGCAGAAATTTATATAAACAAGGATCAATTCATTCATAACGGATCTGGAGGTTTTTGTGTACTATTTGAATTGTTTGCGAGATGGATGTCTCGCCATTTAAATCATTAACCTTTGCATTAGTTTTGTGTGAATAATTCATGTATTTGTAAATTGATTGCACGTTTATTGTAATATATATATATATATATATATATATGCTGAATAACCCTTAGCAAAGTCTCACGTAAATGACAATTATCATTCTGTATTGGATTTATCAGTTGTAAATGATGGTATCTGATGGTATATGAAAAAGAATGGTATAACATTAGCTAGATGACGACGCCATTGCCACTTGATTAACTTCAGCAGCACCACACAGGTGACAGTTTAAAATGTGGGAGGTATTTGTGACGCTCCTTGTATTTATTAGATGTATCCATACATGGGAAGAGGGTCATACTGAAAAGTTCTTAACCCATCCCAGTCACTTTATCACACCCAGGAAGTATATTTACTACTAGATTTCACCCAATACAAGGCTCAATACAAGAAGAATAAAAGAGGAATCAAGAAAACAGCAGATAACGATTGACATGGCATTTAAATTTTTGAAGATCAAATTTGGCTGAAGAGCAAGGGCCCAGAAGAGAGTACCACAAGAGAGAAGAGAAACTATTTAATACTAGAGTTCACCCAATACAAGGCTCAAGAGCCACTCAACATAGAGGGTTAGTATTAAAATAGTTACGATGAATGAGGTGTGTGTAGCCCCTTCTTTCATGTATCACTTCAGGGCGTGGGAGATCATGCCTTTCCATAACTTTCGATTTTTGAAGCTCCAACCAAAGTTTTTTTCCTCTTACTATCCCTCCCAATTCCTGTTCTGCCAGCAATTTCTATAGCTCTATTCGATACTTTGTAACATGCTTTCTCTTTACGAGTGTCAGATAATGCCAAAAATGGTGTAATGCTTTCCTATCTGGGTTGGAACTGCACAATCCTCCCTTTCCAGCCATGATAGAATTCAAAGAAGAAGACATTTTCCACCCTACAGCCTCTTTCCTCACAGACGCAAAGCCGCAAACCTTTCGCTACGCTATAGCTATTTTCATGACAAGTGTTCAGATGAGATCCACTCTTTAGTTCAACCAGTTCAGACTTTTACAACGAAGACATAACATACTACTTCCATAGAGTTGAATCCTCCTTATTTCTTCTGTATTCCAAGTGTACGAAGAAATTTCTACCCAGACTACGTTGTAGGACCACTACCACATAAACGCTTCCCTGAATACCGCAATGTTAACCTCTCCAAGGGCGAATCGCTATCTATCCTCCTTATCCTCGCAATCTTCGCTTCGCACTGTTCCCTCCTTCATTCATATTATTCACCTCATTAATCAAAACAATTTTAACAACAACCCTCTAAGTGACTCTCGAAATATATATTGGGTGAAGTTTAGTATAAAAATATCTACCTTTTGACTTTATTTCAAGACTTACGACCACATCACGGGGAAACACCGGTTCACGTACGATCACCGAATTTAAGCAACTTCAACCCTGGTCAGTATTTGATGGGTGACCGCTTTGGAAATATCAGGTGCTGTGAGCTTAGATGTGCAGGTGGTGTAATGAATAACGGCTCGGAATTGTTAATCGGAGAGCAGAGTTCCAATTACCGTTGGGTTCGTTATATTCACTTACGCGTAAATTCCTTTGGGAAAGGTATGAATCTACTTCTTCTCTCCCCCCCCAGCTATGGGTTAATTAGTTAGACTTGTATCACTAAAACCATTATTATGTAAATAAATAAAATTGAGTACTAAAAATTTAGATTTCGGCATTAAATAATCCATGGCGACAGATATGCCGCTAACCGTTTAATTCTGCGATACCCTGGTTGCCAAGCAAGGCTATAGGACCCATGGGTCAGTCAATCAGTTAAGTGCCATACGTGATACACTGTTGGGCGATCATGTCTCTTTAGATTCATGACTGACTAGGCAGAAATTTTCCTACAGTAGGTCGCTGTTTTTTTCTGCGATAGTCTGGTTGCCAACCAAGGCTATAGGACCCATGGATCAGTCAGTCAGTGAAATGCCATACGTGATACACTCTTGGGCGATCATGTCTCTATCGATTCATGATTGACTAGGCAGAAAATATTACCCGCAGTAGGTCGCTGTTCCATTCTGCGATAGTCTGGTTGCCAACCAAGGCTATAACATCCAGGGATCAGTTAGTCAGCTAAGTGCAATACTTGAAACACTTTTCGGGGATCACGTCTCCTTCGATTCATGACTATCTTGGCAGAAGATTTTCCAGCAGAAGATTGCCGTTTCTTTCTGTGGTAGACTGGTTTTTCCTACCAAGGCTATAGGACCGAGTCTGTCCGGTTATTAAAGAAAGACAAGTGATAGATTCATACTTTCCCAAGAGTATTTGCTTATAAGTGAATGTAACAAACTCGACTGGAATTCGAACTCGGCTCTCCAAGTTCTCATTCTGAATCGCTCTCTATTACACCACCACGCACATAATTAAGTATTCAGTTATATTTTTTTTATTTTTTCTATTCCAGTTACATAGCTGTGACAAAGCGCGAATGTAAGTAAATTGGACGTAGGGAAGGATGGATTCATGCCTTAATCCTGACTAATTGATGACGGCAGCAATTAGGAGATACAGGAACAATCAATCTCTTGCTGTTGTCTCTATTTTCTTTCATTTATTCCCACTCGCTCTGGCTCCAGACCGCAGAGCGAAGCTAACCCAACACATGACCATCAAGATGGTGACAGATGTCAAGTCGAGGTTTTAATATATGGCCGGAAATGAGAGCATCAATCGGGCGACTAAAATCGGTCCAGACGGAAGATAAATGAAATAAAAATCTTATACATAAAGTAGAGTGTATGAGTGTGTGTTTGTGCATATGTGTCTCCAAGCAACTGCTCCGCTCCCACTGGTCCGATTTCAATGATTCATAGCTCATTCAAAAGCACTAGAAATGTTAGGTGCAGGGAACGATTTTCGTTGAGCTGAGATTCAGGGCTACCAGATTATGCGAGGTTAAAAATATATACTAATATATTATACTGGCCATTATTGTTGCTTTCATGGTTCAAAGGGAGTAACTCTTATTTTCCTCTTGTACCCAGAACTGCAGCTGGGTTAAAATCTTAAGGTAGTTAAAATTTTAAACTAGCTTTAAAGCCGCCCTAATGGGTGGCATTTAAGTTAGCTCCTGTGGAGGACTCTTGGTTTGACCATCATCATAATAGCTAGAGAGGAGTAGATGCGATTGGTATCAATAAACTACAGAATTCAAAATTCATGTTTCATGTAAACACAAATATATATAATTATTATTAATTGAAGAATATCAAACACTTAAAATCCCGTATTTGTCTATATTTCTGAGATGAGGTATAATGTACATTATTTACATTATTCGGACTATTGTCCTCATCTTTGTTGCCATATTTATTACAACGTTTCGGCCGTTGTAGGCTCCGGCCTTCTTCAGGTGGTTGGAATTTCGAACTGAACCCTTTATTTCGCTGATTGGGGTAGACTGTTCTAGTTCCACGTGCCATGTTTTTAATGGATGTTAGTTATCAGTTATCTCCTGTTAATTTCCCGCTGAAAGTTCTCCACTGCCTTAACCGGGTATTGAACTCACACTCTTTGGGTCCTGTCACTGGATCTAACCAACGCCTTTATCCACTGTGCCATGTGCCTTGAGGGATATCATTGAGTGTTGGCTTTTTCTTTTTTCTTTTTTTTTTATAATGCTTGCATTATTTTTAGCCATTGTTAAGCATTTTACAAAGTAAATATAAAAATATATATATATATATATATATCGTTTTAATGAAATATATATATATACATATATATATATATATATATATATATATATATATTTGAAGACACGATTTAGGGCTCATTTTTTTTTGTATTCAACCTAGGCATCTTTCGACCAACACTTCATCAGGAACCAACGTTGGAAAAATGATTTTATCTAAATTGGTGTGAGAATCTATGAAATATGGAGGAGAATTTGATATACTTCTAAAAATAAATTCACTAATAAAATATACGTAAATTCAGGAAAACCTATGAATACTCCAATCTGAGTGTCAAATAAAAAAATAACTGGAGTGACCCAAATAACTGAGTGACCCATATATATATATATATATATATATATATATATATATATATATATATATATTTTAATATTATTTTTTAATTTTATATTTTCAATATTGAGAACTATATATAAAAATATCGGACGGCCACAAAATCATGGATATGATTTTGTGACCGTCAATTTCAGTCTTATGCGATCTCAGACATACATATATATATATATATATGTGTGTGTGTGTGTGTATATATATATATATATATATAAGTTGTATGGATATGAGTTTGCGACCCTGTGTTTTCACGCTTTTGCCATCATCAGACAAACGCTATATATATATATATATATATATATATATATATATATATATATATATATATATATACAAACATAGTTTTAAAACAATGGAATAAACAAAAGCATGTGGTTGATCTAATTATTCCTTTTTTAAAGAGTCTACTTTGTTGGCGCCGACGGTTGCATCATTCTACTTAACGCATCGTCGACTACGCACGAATGATGAAATCGAGGCTAGTGCAAACGCCTGCCAATCGTTTCACACCACCACTCTTCTTCCCCGACTTGCTTGTCGTTTGTTTTGTTTATTTTTTTTTCTCTTTAACCATTCGCTATTAATTCCATTGAGAAACATTTACAGCTGTTACTCACACTGCGCCATAAAAAGTAAAAAAAAAAAAAAAAGAAAAAAATGGTTGTCTGCCTTACGAAACTTTAACCAACCTTCATGATTATTTTATTTTCTCAAGAATGAAACGCTTGTTGTCAACTGAATTTCAATGGATTTTAACAATTGCACTGATATTAATGCCGAGCTGTTAGTTTTTCAATTTGAAAAAATTAATCAAAAAAGCAATTAAAAAAGCAATTAAAATTAAAAAAGCAAAAATACGTGTTTTTATTTATCAGCTAATACCAACCCTAACCCATTGTTAGTCTTATTGGCCATTTGCAGGCACAGTGAGTTCAATTTCCAGATGATACACCCTCAATTGTGTCTTTGTGGCAGTCTTCTTTGTCACATGACATTTCAGAAGGTAGGCGATCATGGCTCTCCATAGTTTCCTCTCTTTTGTAGCTCTTAATTTTATTTCTTTGTTATCTTTCCTAAACTTTGTACCAACATTCATTTACTCCCTAATAATGCCGGGCACCTCGGCGTGGTGTAATGGTTAGCAAGCTTGCCTTGCTAGATCAGTTACGACGGAGTAGTGAGTTCGATTCACACTGGGAGGCCCGTACTTTCGGCTATACTTGGAAAATCTCTACTCTCTAATAATGGCTGGCAATACTTCATATAATTAAAATTTACAATGATATTAAAACGCAACAATTTGCCCAAGGATTATTTTGATTAGCCATGTTATAACGATTATGTCAGTACTTATGCAAATACAAAGACAATCTTCGCGATCATGGCTCTCCACAATGTCCTGTTCTTCAGAGCTCTTAATAAATTTTGTTATTTCTCCTAAACCATGTTTCCATTTACTCAAGCTTGCTTGTCATGCATTGTTTTCCTTTGTCCCTCCTGCTTTGAATCTTTCCTGTGAGTATCAGATTTTCCAAGCTCTCTTTTCTCATTATGTGCTCTTGACATTTCAACTGTCCCTTCCTGATAATAAGTATAAGTTCCTATTGTGTTTCCATTTCTCTAAAATGTTGTTGTTGGTAACATGTTCGGTTGATGGTATCCTCAGCATCCTTCTGCAGAACCACATTTCTGTTGCCTAAAGTCTCTTCTTCGTCTGTTAGGAGATTGTCCAGCATTCACTGCTTTGTGCTAGCAAATATGCATAAACATTTATTCTATTCTGTTTGTTTTGTATGGAAGGCTCTTATGCTTATCGGCCTCGGTTTAAACCGCCTTTAACCAGCCTTCAGGCTGGGATCAAAGGATCTGTCCTCCTGTAGATAATGGCGTCTCTGTCTGCGGACAGAGCGCACCTGAAAATATTACTGAGGTGTGCCCAGTCTAGGGGAATAGCTTCCCGCGGCAGAACCTTCCAGATTGCAGCGGGGATCGGTAGTAATGCCATTGCCAGCCGACGCTTGCGAGGTCAGGACTATTTTTGGACCTGGCTCGGGTGCACACGCTCCTGCTCCCCACATTAACCTGGCCTTGTGTCACATCCTCTCGGCATGGGACGGCAAGTAAACAGCAAGTGTATAAATTCCGTCGATCAATTGTATTTCTGTCTTCGGTCCAGGTGGTTGTTCCAACTCTGCGGCAGAACCTCAACCATGGCACAAAAGAGGTTGGGTCGCTGGAATATCGACACCATCGTGACGTTGGTTGTGGGTACCGGGTAGTTTGGGACCTTAGCTCAGGTACACGCGCTTGGGCTCCCCACTTTAAACCGCTTCCGTGCGATATCCGGCCACTGTGGGAAGACGAGTAAATAACAAGTATCCCACTTTTCAACCTCCGGACT